CGCCGCGGGCGCCGCGGGCGCCGCGGCGGCGGCCGGCGGCGACTCGCGGCGGCCGAGCGCGTGGCGCAGCGCCTGCAGGGGCGTCGCCCGCTCCCGCGACGACGGCGGCGACGCGCTCGCCGCCCGGGACGGCGGCGGCGGCGGCGGCGGCGGCGCGCGCGCGTCGGCCGCCGCCTCGCGCGCGGCGAGCCGCGCCTCGGCGATGGCCTCCGCGAGGTCGTCGTCGTCGGACGACGGGGCCGCCTCGAGCTCCAGCGTCATGCGGCGCTCGCGGATCCGCTCGACGGCGCCGCCGTGGACCTCGGACGTCGCGCGGAGGGCCTCGTCGTCCGACGAGCTGCCCTCGTCGTCGTCCGGCGGCGGCGGCGGCGGGCCCGGCGCGCGCGCCGGCGGGGTCGGCGCGTCCGGTACGTCCTCGAGCGGCGCGGGCCAGTCGGCGGCCGGCACGGCGGCGGCCGTCCGCCGCCGCCTCGTCCATTTCATCGTGAGCGCGCCCTTAATTGAAAAGGCAACTCCTATTATTGAGTGCAAAATTGAAGTATATACCTACTCCGGCAAAACTTGGCAAAAGATACAAACGGCGGCTTGCACGTGTGGCTCTCGTCGCCCCCGGCGCGTCACCTGGGTATCCCCACATTGCTAGATTCATATTGCAGCATTAAGCCCCGCTCGTCCAGCAGCAGAAGTGGCTTACCCTCCCGCCGCAGGGACTGAAGTTGGCGTGGGCAGCCCCCGCCGCGCGCGGCTCCCGCCCCCGGCCGCCCGCCGCCGCCGCCGTCCGCCGCCCCGGCCGCGCGTGCCCAAAAAAGCGCGCCGCCGCGACATCCGCGGGACGCCATGGAGCCCAACTGGGCCGGCGGCGACGACGCGGACGCGGGCGACACCTTCTTCGCGGACCTGCCGAGCTCGCCGCGGTTCCTCGCGGGCATGGGCATGTCGGACAGCGACCCGGCCCTGAGCGACCGCAGCGCGCGGCCGAGCCTCGAGAGCCTGCCCGGCCGCGCGCTGCGGCCGAGCCTCGAGAGCCTGCCGCGCGCGCCGCCGCGGGAGCCGCGGCCGGCCTGGGAGGGCACCGTCGAGGCGCTCGCCGCGGGCCTGTCGCCGGGCCTGCCCCAGGTCTACGAGCTGCTCCACGTCCTCGCGTCGCGGCCCTTCCCCCGGGAGCTTCTAGGGAAATTGGACGTCCGGAGCACCGCGAGCCCCTTCCCGCCCCTCACGCGGCACCACGCCTGCTACGTCGTCTCGCGCAAGCTCCACCTCGAGCTCGAGGCCGCCGCCGCCGCCGCCGGCGACGCGCCGCCGCCGCCGCCGCCGCGCGCCGCGCCCGCGGCCGCGCCCGTGTCCGTGGCCTTCCAGTCCGTGCTCAACAGCGAGGTCTGGTGGGCGTCGCCGAGCCGGGGCGTCGCGTCGCGGCCCATGAGCCGCAATGCGCGCGCGCCGGGCGTCGACAGCCGGAGCCCGCACGGCTACAAGGGCCGCCTCTACACCGTCGTCACCGGCGCCGCGCTCGCGTCCGGCCCGAAGCGCCAGCGCGCGGCCGCGAAGCGCAACGTCCGCGCGGACGTGTCCTTCCCCGTGGGCATCGTCCAGATCTGGCGCGTCACGGGCGAGACGCCCGAGGTCGAGGGCCGCGTGCTCTTCCCCGTCGACAGCGGCGGCCGGGGTGGGAAAAGAGAGCGACATGCCCAACTTGAAAGGCTCCTCTCTCGGCCGGTTTCCACTCGTTTCGGCTGATTTTTGGACGAGCGATCATCTCTCGGAACGGTCTCGAAGCGTGGATGCTTTTTTTGGGAACGCGCGCCCGCGGCACACGCATGTTGAAGCGAACGTGAATCTCCCGCGTCCCGCCCAGGCGACGGCGACGACGCCGCGTCCGAGAGCAGCGAGTCGAACACCGTCGGCGCGGCCCGCGAGCCCAAGGAGCGGCGCGTCGGGCCCTCGGAGCGGACGTCCTTCACCGTCGACGGGCCCATGGTCGTCAAGGGCGACCTCCGCGTCGAGGGGGCCATCTTCGGCGACCTCCCGCGCGGAACTCGAAGCGCGATCCCGACCACACTTCAAACCTCTCGGCCACATCGACGTCGATGCGGCGAATTTTTGGACGAGTCGTGTGCTCGTGTCGAGTGCTCGACGCAGGGCGGAAGCATTCGGGTGCGCGCACGTTGACAAGATTTACATGCGCAGGCCACCTCCGCGCGGAGACGCAGCGCGCGGACTACGCGGAGTGGTTCCCCTGGGCCGCCCCAACCGCCGCGGCGCCGCCGGGCTCCGTCGTGGCCCTCGACTGCGCGACGAAGACGCTGTCGCCGGCGACGGCGCCGGGCGCGCCCGCGTTCGTCGTGTCGTCGTCGCCGAGCGTCGCCGCGGGCGTGCCGCGCCGCGCGGGAATCAACCCTTCGACCCGACTTCAATGTGCGCGTCATTTGACGGAGTGCACCAGACTCATCGGCCGCGCTTCGAGAACTCGCCGAGAGAGTAGCACTCGTCCAAAATCAGCCAAATCGACTTCGACTTGACCGAGCGAGGTTCTGAAGTTTGCTCGGGATGACCCGGCTCACCGTTTGATGTCCACACAGGTGCCGCACGGCGGCGCGGGCGGCGGCGCCTTGGTGGCCTTCGTCGGCAGGTGCCCCGTGCGCTGCCGCGGGCCCGTGGCGCCGGGCGACGTCCTCGTGCCGTCGGGCCGCGGCGACGGCCTCGCCGTCGCGCGGCGCGGCCGCGGCCGCGGCGACGCCGTCGCGCTCGCGCTCGGCGCGTCCGCCGGCGGCGAGGGCCTCGTGCTCGGCCTCGTGCCCTGCCCCGCGCAGCTCGCCGGGCGGGCCCCGCGGGACATGCCGTCGCCGTTCCGCGCGGCGGGCGCCGCCGCGGTCGCGCTCGCCTGCGGGTCCTTGGCGCTCGCCGCGGTCGACGTCTACCGCTTCAACGTCCGCGCGGCGCCCCTGCGCCACCGCGACTTCGGGCGGCTCCTGGCGACGCTCCTCGGGCTCCACTGCTGCGTCGCGCTCGTCGTCGCCTTCGGCCGCAAGCGGTTCGACGCGCTCGCGCCCGCGGCGTTGGGAGTCGCGCTCGAGGCCGCGGTCCGCGCGCGCCCGCGCGAGTGCCGGACGCCGCCGGTCTTCTTCGCCGCGTGCGTGCTGGGGGTCGCCGCGAACGCGTACCTGGCGCGGCGGGCCTGCGGCGCGGCGCGGCCCCGCGACGCCCCCGCGGAGTTCGCGGCCGACGCGCCCGCGCAAACCGCCAAGCTCGCGGACGACGCGTAGCCGCCTCGTCGTCGCCCTTTTTTTCTGTCGTGCTTCCCCCGCGGCGTGCGCCGCGCGACGCACGGAGCGCTTTCTGGTTTTAATTGTCTGGTTTTCTCGCTAGTTTGCTCCACGTTGAAGATCACGTTGAAGCATCGAGCTCGGCGGAGTCGAGGTGGGCTCGCAGGACTGCGTCGACGTCGCACGAGGTGGGCTCGCAGCACTGCGTCGACGTCGCACCGCAGCCACTGCCACCACTACGAGAGCATCCAAACATGCGCGCGCTCGCCCTCCTGCTGGCCCTCGCGTCCGCCGCGGCGTGGACCGCGCCGCGCCGCCCGCGACCCGCGTCGCTGGCCCTCGCCGCCAAGGGCAAGAAGGGCAAGAAGGGCAAGAAGGGCGGCGGCCAGAAGAAGCAGTCGGGCATGGAGTGGGCGCTCAACTTCGAGGTCATGCCCTACGACTCCGTCGGCCTGCGCCAGCTCGCCGAGGAGTCGGCGAACGCGTTCCAGGCGCGCACGGGCACGGCGCTCGTCGACGGCGGCGGCGACGTCGCCAAGGCGCTCTGGGCGGCGCCGGCCGCCGTGCTCGTCGCGGCGCCGCCGAGCGACGACACGCCGTCGGCGCACGTCGGCTACGCGAACGAGGCCGGCTGCGAGTTCCTCGGCGGGAGGCACGGCGACGTCATCGGCGCCGCGACCGAGCTCGCGACCGCGCTGGACAAGGGCTACGACGGCAAGTACGAGAAGAAGGTCGGCGGCCGGACCATGCGCGGCGCGAAGCGCTGGCAGATCGACCGCATGGCCGTCGTCGACGGCGCGCTCGCGACCGAGGTCGTCGGCGTCGGCTACGTCTTCGACTCGTGGCTCCTCGAGGACGGGCGCGTCGGCGAGCCCGGCGGCGTCGTCTCCGAGCCGCCGGCGGACCCGGCGGAGGTCGCGGCGAAGATCGAGGCCCAGGGCGCGCTCATCCGCGACCTCAAGGAGACCCAGGGCCTCGGCAACAAGAGCCCCGAGGTCGTCGACGCCGTCGCGGAGCTCCTGAGGCTCAAGGCCATCCTCGAGCCCCCGGAGGACGCGGCGTAAAGTGCGCTCGTTTAAAAGTATGCTTTTGCCGCTCAAACTAGTAGTCGCGCGCGCTGCGCCAGAACGAGAGCACGTGCGCGAAGACGTCGTCCGGGAGACTCGTGTTCAGGAACAGCCGCTCGTGCGCGCGCACGGTCGACGGCCCCGCTCGGCCCCGCTCGCGAAGCAGCGGCAGATCCCGGCGAAGTGCGAGCAGCTCGGCTCGGGGCGCGGCGACGTACCGTTTCCAGCCGCCAGCGCGGCGGACGTCGGCGAGGAGGAGGGCGACGGTCATATAGGACTCTTCGCGCGCGTAAGTCTCCGGATCTCGGTTATTCTTATCGCGTGCGTCGATAGATGCGCCACGACTGAGGAGCAGCTTGCTCAGGGCGGTTGATTCAGCGAGATGGAGCGCGGTGTACTGATAGTAGCTGCGAGCGTCGACGTCAGCGCCCGCGTCGAGCAGAAGGACCGCCGCGTCTTTTTTCGTGAAAGAAACAGCGAGATGCAGGGGCGTGAACAATCTTAATGGGTGCCGATCGGTCGCTCCAACGTTGGCGCCGCGCTTCACAAGCCATCGAATGCTTTTGCACCAGCCTCGTTGCGCAGCCCAACACAGGCGCCGCGTCAATATTCCATTGCTTCCTATAGTTTTGAAATACACAGGCTCATTGATGTCTCGGCCCGCGGCGTAACCTTCCCGTGCTTCGGCGAGGAAGTCGGGCTCGGCGGGGTCCATCGGGCTGCTGCGGGATTGGGCCATGCTAGAGCTCCAATGCGTATGCATCTTGCGTATGCTAGCCTTCGATGAAGCCGCAATTGCCTTTACGAGGCAGCCCCGCCGTCAACTGGCAATGGCCCGCGCCGAGGCGACGATCAAGGCGGCGCAGAAGTGGCGGTCCTGCGCCGCCGTGGGCGACTACGGCGAGGCGCTCAAGGAGCTGGATCTCTGCAAGGTGCTCGTGCGCGCGGCCCAGGACGCGGAGCCCCGCGGGTCCGAGGCGCGGAAGCGCTGGGCCGTCGCCGGCGACGAGCTGCTCGAGTCGGACAGGATGCTCAAGGGCTACCTCGCGGCCCTCGACGGCGTCCCGCGGACTTGCGGCACCGAGCGGGCGCCGCGGCCGCGGACGCCGCGCGAGCGTTCGCCGCCCGGCGACCCCGTCGTCTGGCCACCGCCGATCGGCGCCCGCGGCCCGGCACCGGCCCGGCGCGCCGCCCTGGGCGCGGGCCGACGGCGGCCAGGGCGTGATCCGCGAGCCCGGGCCCGGCCGCGGCCGGGCCCGCGGCGCCGACGCGCGGCCCGCGCGCGCGCCGGAGAAGCGGAAGCCCGCGGTGCCGCCCGCGCGCGTCGCGCCGCGCGAGCCGCGGCGCGCGCCCGCGCGGCGGCCGAGCGCGGCCCCGGCGGCCGACGGCGCGGCCCCCAAGTACAGCGACCACGCGCGCGAGGCGGGGCTCTGCGACGTCGAGCTCATCGAAGGCATCGAGCGCGACATCGTCGAGACGGGCGTGTCCGTGACCTGGGACGAGATCGCGGAGCTCAAGGAGGCGAAGCAGCTCCTCCAGGAGGCCGTCGTGCTCCCGCTCTGGATGCCCGACTTCTTCCGGGGCATCCGGCGGCCCTGGAAGGGCGTGCTCATGTTCGGCCCGCCGGGCACGGGCAAGACGATGCTCGCCAAGGCCGTCGCGGCCGAGTGCAAGACGACGTTCTTCAACGTGTCCGCGTCGACGCTGTCGTCCAAGTGGCGCGGCGAGTCCGAGAAGATGGTGCGCCTCCTCTTCGACATGGCGCGGTGGCACGCGCCGAGTACGGTCTTCTTCGACGAGATCGACTCGCTCGCGGGCCAGCGCGGCGGCGCGAACGAGCACGAGGCGTCGCGGCGCGTCAAGACGGAGCTCATGGTCCAGATGGACGGCGTCGCCGGCGGGTCCGGCGACGCGCCCGAGGACGCGGGCGCCGAAGCCGCGCCGCGGACCGTCATCGTCCTCGCGGCGACGAACACGCCCTGGGAGCTCGACGAGGCGCTCCGGCGGCGCCTCGAGAAGCGCATCTACATCCCCCTGCCGACGGCGGCGGGCCGGGCCGCGCTCTTCGAGATCAACATGAAGTCCGTCGACGTCGCCGACGACGTCGAGCTCGACGACCTCGCCGCGAAGACGGACGGCTACAGCGGCGCGGACGTCGCCAACGTCTGCCGCGACGCGGCCATGATGTCCGTGCGCCGCGTCATGGAGGCCGCGCGCGCCAAGGGCCTCAGCGGCGCGGAGATGCAGCGCGAGCTCGCGGCCAACCGCGGCGCGATGCAGGCCGACGTGTCCATGGAGGACTTCCTCAACGCGATCCGCAAGGTCCGCGGCTCCGTCGGCTCCGCGGACCTCCAGAAGTACCGCGACTGGTCCGACGAGTTCGGCGCGGCCTAGGCCGGGGCGGACCGGGGCGGACCTTTACAACGC